CAAACCAATCTTTAAGTATGGTAATTTGATTTTCCACTTTTGTTTTCAGGCTCTTCCAGTCTTCGGCTGTGAAGAGTATGGCCGTGTCATCAGCAAAGCTGAAGATAGATCCGTCGCACCTCTGGGTAAGTAGACTGTTTATATATAAGGAAAATAGCAGAGGACCAATTACAGTGCCTTGTGGTATGCCATAACTAATTTCTGCTTCTGAGCTGAGAACATTGTTGATTTTTACAGCCTGCTTTCTGCCGTTCAGGTAGCTTTTCAATAGATTTTGAGAATTACCTCGAATACCTGAGCAACTTAGGGCCTCCAATAACTGGATATGATCAACGGTATCGAAAGCCTTAGCTAGGTCTAGAAATACACATATCGCTGGCTTTTTATTGTCTATATACTTATATATTTCGCTTGTGAGAGCAGCTATCGCGTCGTTTGTTGATAAACCTTGCCTGAATCCGTATTGTCTGCTAGATATGAGATTGTATCTTTCAATAAATGTAATCAATCTAGATTTGAGTATTTTCTCGAAAACTTTATTGAAGCTTGTCAAGAGCGAAATTGGCCTGTAATTATTGACCATTACGGGATCTCCTTTTTTCAGGATAGGAGTCACTATGGACTTCTTGAAAGCATTCGGACATTGGCATGTTTGAAATATGTTATTTATCAGAGAAGTTAATAGGGGTGTTATTTCTTCTGATATTTGTTTGAGATGTTCAGCTCTGATGCCGTCAAATCCAGGAGATTTTCTGTTTTTAAGAGAATGGATTACATCGTACACTTCTTTTTCGTTAACTGGTTCGAGAAAGAACGAGGTCAAGTTAGTAGTTTGCTTGGGAGTTGCAGTGGGAGGTTTGGTAATCTTCTCGGCGTATTTTTTCCCTACATTGGAAAAAAATGCATTGAACAAATTTGCCTTCATCTCATCGTCATTTGTTTTTGTTCCATCCTCACACAGTATTTCTTTTATTGAATTGTCTTTTTCGGGAGCATTAATTTCATTCACAATTTTCCATATTTGTTTTGCGCAATTTTCACTATTTTTGATTTCATTTTGGTAATATTTCTGTTTAGCAATTTTTATTAGTCTGTTTGTATAAGCTCTGTATGCGACGTAGTTTTCCTTTTTCCTTATATTTTGAGGATCTTCTTTGTATTCGTGATATAATGAATTTTTATGGTTTATGGATACCACAAGCCATGTTAGTCAAGAACATTCTTACGTTCGGGTACGTTCGCCTCCTCATCAGAAGGTGCTAGCCGTATAGACTCTAGTGACGTTTTTAGTACCGCTTCCCTTCCTCTGGCTCAGCTGGACTTTCATTATGTTCAATTTCTGAATCCCTCGAACGAGTTTCTGAATGTCATAACTCTATATTCTGACAAATTACTATTTCGATACGCAGGTAGGTATAGGTATCTACTAAATTCCAAATTTCATCCAGTTCGAACATTTTGTATTAATTCTTGTGTCTCCGATACCATTATACATGTTGACTGTGGTTATTTTCATTGATATATTCATTGTATCTGTCTGTTCTCTTTTATCCTCGCTTTTATCTCTTTCTTGTATTTACGTAAATATGTATTTATTATAATTGTGACGATTTTTTGTTCTAAAAAATTTTATGAAAATGAGAAAATGACTTTATCAATGAGATGAAAATCTTCCGATAATAAAGTATATTTTGATTTGATTTGATTTGATGAATTGAACACAATTCCACCAAAACTCCATATTCTTCTGATGATGATTTTCTCTTCAGGGTATCCCGAAATCAGTCTGACAATTGGTGACGTTGGCAATCAAATGAGTTACAGGATGTTTAAAATTAAGAAAAAAAATTAATTTATCTTGAATTCACAATTTTCATTCTCAGATTTCAGCAATGAATACCATGTTCTATCTATATCAACTGAACAGGAAGCAATTCGTCTCCGTTCAGAAGAATGCAAGCAGATTCCTTGATTTTTCTCTACTGGTTGTTATCTTCTTTTCCAACTCGGACGCCAACGTGCCACTCCACGCCCGGCAAACTGGGCGGTAAAGTGACTCTTTACGCCCAGTCGTGCGTAAAATCATTCAATATTCGCAATTGTGTATGTTAATGTCGCTTATGATGAGAACAAATTGCTGAAACTGTATTTAAATGAAAATCCCTTCTATCATGCATCTATCATGGCTTAGATTGTCATCCTTTCCAATATATCAAAACTGTCACCGTATATAGGCTATAAAACTACCTTATTTCGAAGTCCTGATGAAAAAATGTATCTGAAACAATTATTTAACTATATATAACAAAATTACAAAATCACTGAAAAAAATAGTTGGTAGTAATTACCAAACGTTTAGTAAAATAGGCGCCAGTCACAACATCCATCTAATGATACCACTTCAACATTGATTGATACTATATATTATATCAACTAATACCACTACAAGATGGTATGATACTCATAGTTCAGTATGATATAATTTCGTAGTGGTGTTATTTGATCAATGTAGTGACTGATGGCGCCTATTTTACTAAACGTTTGGTGTTCACTACCGACTATTTCTTTGAGTGTGAATAATTGATATTTATTTGTTTTCTACAGTTTTCGTGAATTTATCATTCAGACAGGCGAAAAAATAACCATACATTCTGGTAGTGCAGCCGCAGCCTGAAACAACAAAAATCAGAAATGTGTCTCCAACATAGGAAAAAATAGTCGGTAGTTAATACCAAACGTTTAGTAAAATAGGCGCCATCAGTCACTAGATACATTCATCTAATAATACCACTTCAAAATTGTACAGGATGTTCCGTTGGGAAACGGAAATACTTCAACGGTGGATAGAGGTGACCAAGGTGGTTCTGAATATACCATATATGTTGGGTCTTACATGTTTCATTATCGAGATATAGGGTGTTTTATCAATTCTGGTAATTTCTTTGAACGCTCATAGCATACGAACCACCTGGTATATTTTTTTGATATTTGGTAGACATGTTTTCCTACTGCTACCCAAGCGACTTGTATATCCGTCATAAAAAAATTCCAGGCCCGGATTAACAAAAATTCAACATATTATTGGGTCCTCGAAAAAACACCCTGTATGTTTGAATTTACAAAATCCGCTTACATATCTGAAGAGAGCACAAAATGTTGAATGGATTTGTGTACTTTTTATGTTTCCGCATGCTATTTTACTACTGAATTTCTGAAGCTGCAATGAAGGATTTGTGAATTTCAATAGCTAAAAACGGAATATTTTCCGTTTTTCATATCGAATTATGAAAATTTTGCAATTTTACAACTCATTTTATTCCATTTCATAGTCGTTGTCTGCATTTTTATGCCTGTGGAACGGGCCAGTGTATATTCACAGGTCCTTACTTCATTCATGTACCTATTTATTTGTTTGAGACATATTTCCATGCACCCTGTATGTGGATTCACATATTTCAATATTTCTATTGTTTTGATGTTATAATTTCACTTACTTATTACATTCTTTATGTATTTGCGAATGTCATTGTCTGTACCTATGTGGTACCGTTCACTTTCATCTCTTCATCATTCAAATCTAGGTAGCTTTGATAATGACAGAACATTTGTCAAACAATTAACAGCATTCGCGAATTTCTCTTCATTGTTGTTATTTACTGATTTATTTATTCACCTAATTTTGAAAGAATGCCTCGTAAATTTTCCAATGAAGAATATGCTGATATGACGTATATTTATGGTTTTTGTGATGGAAATGGACTGGCTGCAAGACGAGAGTATCAAAGGAGGTTTCCTGATAGAAGAACACCCAATAACAAAACATTCGGACAAGTTTTCAACTACATGCGAATACATGGAAGGTTTCCTACAGTACAATTGAATGAACACCACGAAAGAAGGCATGTTGATATGGAACGCAATATTTTGAATATGATTGAGAACAATCCAGAAATAAGCACTAGAAGGATAAGTAATGCTCTGGATATACCGAATACTACTGTTCATCGACGGTTGAAAAAAAATCACTTGTATCCATTTCACAAACAAGAAGTACAGAGGTTGGAGGTTGGTGATGAAAATTCTAGACTCAATTTCTGTAGATGGATAATACGGAATGAGAGAATATTGAATAGATGCCTTTTCACGGATGAAGCTCAATTCACACGAGACGGTGTATACAATTCAAAAAATTGTCATGTCTGGGCAGAAGAAAATCCTTTTGCTATTCGTCAGTCCCATTCACAGCATAAATTTTCAGTTAATGTTTGGTGCGGAATGTTTCATAATAAATTAATTGGCCCTCATATTTTACCTGCAAGACTAACTGGCGAAGTATACTTGGACTTCTTAGAAAATATGTTGCCAGTTTTACTAGACGTTGGAAATATCGATGTTGCAGGAATGTACTTCCAGCACGACGGTGCTTCGCCGCATTATAGGCTAATAGTTAGAAACTTTTTAAATCAAAATTTTCCTAATACATGGATTGGACGAGGTGGCCCTCATAACTGGCCCTCGAGATCACCCGATTTAAATCCCGTGGATTATCACCTGTGGGGTTATCTTAAATCCAAAGTGTATTCTTCAGAAATTAATACCAGAGAGGAGCTTATCCAGAGAATAGAAGAAACATGCCAAGAAATGGAAAACAACCAGGAAGTTATTCGAAAGGAATATTCTGAAAAGAGCAAGGAAATGTATAGATCAAAATGGAGGCCACTTCGAGAATTTGTTATGATTTTCATGTTTCAAGTTGACTGTGTATATTTTTGGGTTCATCGTTGTAATATTTGAGGAAATAAAGTTGTTTCAACAGTGTTATTATTATGTCGATTGTTTTGTTGAACTCTTTCCACAAATACATAAAGAATGTTCTGCAGCGAATTTTTCAGGACATACAGATCGTTATTCGAAATTATAACATCAAAACAATAGAAATATTGAAATATGTGAATCCACATACAGGGTGCATGGAAATATGTCTCAAACAAACTACTATCATGGTGGCCGACGAGAATAGTAATTCGGATAAGCTGAAGAGAATCTGTAAATATTGCAAGAAAAATGTATCCAAAGGAATGAATTGTGCAAAGTGTGAGTCATCCTATCATAACAGTTGTGCCCAGCGAGTAAAAAATTGTTGTGATCAAGAAATTCTTGAAAATATAGTGGAAATTAGTGATGATGTGGTGCTAACCTTGGATAAATCGGACCATAAACAATCAGATACTGAGGAAATCAAATTGTTGAGACAACTGATCGTGAGCAAAGATGTTATTATTAGTGACAAGCAATGCATAATAGATCTTTTGCATGAGAAAATATCATTTTTAGAACAAAAATTATCATCTAATCATCATTTAAAAACGCAATATCCAACAACATCAAATAACCAAGGTCGTCAAGTTTCACAGCAAGTGCACACCACAAAAAAGGACCCTCCAGAAAAACATCAGATAAGCAATAATCCTCACTTTAATTATAACAAAAAATCACCAAATAAGCTATCGACTCAAGACACTAAAAATGAATCATCAAAAGGTGTTTCCAATATACAGGGTGAGCCAGTTATCGGAAACAAACAAGCCAGTTTGGAAATAATGAAGGTACAAACCGAAAGGATATGTGATGAGTATATTAATTTGGCCGATGACAACATGAAATCACCTGAACAGCCATGGCAGACAGTAACATACAAGAAAGACGCTAAACATACAATTATACCCTCCTCATCTAGGACCTATGGTCGAGGACAACCAAGCAAGTTGATGGTAGTAGCACCTACAAGAAACTGGATATGGATTGGTGGCTTGAACGAATGTACAACAGTTGACAATGTTAAAGAGTATACTAAGGAAAAATTCGTAGATAAAGATGTATGCTGTTTTGATCTTAAATCTAAGTTTCGAAAGAAATGTTTCAAAATTGGAAGCACAGATTTGTCCATGGACGAACTGTTAGATCCGGATAACTGGCCTGATAAATTATTCATTCGTCCCTTTCATCACCAGTCATCATGAAAATGGAATACTATCAGATATCTTATCTTCTACGGTACCTTCGTCTTATACCAATGAGCAGAGTACACAAAACTCTTTTATGGGTCATCCAAAAACTCTCGACAAACTAGTCAAGAATATAGTCTTCCATCAAAACGTTCAATCTTTTGGTAACTGCTTGAATATAGTTCAAGAATGGGCTGCAGAACTTAACAGTTATGTCATATGCATAACTGAACACTGGCAAACAAGCTCAAATATCAAGTACTTGAACATCTCCAAATACACACTTGCCTCCAGCTATTGCAGAGGTGAGGGCCTACATGGAGGTAGTGCCGTGTATGTATCAAAGGAACTCAGGAGCATTCAAATTGAAGAAATCAACTCACTTGCTGAGGAAAGGGTGTTTGAGTGTTCTAGTGCGAAATGTAGCAGTAAATCTATGACCTTCATAATTGTTTCTATCTACAGGTCACCTGTCAGTGATATTAAAATATTTTTTGATAAGTTACAAAATCTTCTCAGTCTGTTGCACGAATTGAATCTGATCTATTTTGTAGCAGGAGACTTCAACATTGATACTAGAAACAAAAAGAGCAAAGATTGTGTAGATTTCATGAATATCTTAGACAGTTTTGGTACCGAGCTAACAATCTTTGATGCTACTAGAATAACACCAACTTCTAGGACTTGTTTGGATAATATACTTACAAACTATAAAGGTGAGAAAACGGGTATTGTCATTCCTACTGGAATCTCTGATCATCTGGGGCAAATTTTGAAAGGTGATGTAAAAAAACACAAAACAAACAACAATTTCAAGGAACAGCGATTTTTTAGTAATGAAAGTGTGGTTAATTTCTGCCGTCAAATTGAGAAAGAACCATGGGAAGATGTATACCTTTCTCAGAGCATAGATGAAATGTATTCATGTTTTATGAAGATTTTCTTTTACTATTTCGACACAAACTTCTGCAAGATAAAACGCCGAATCAACAGGGGTGTCACGGGAGCCACTTTTAAATCGGAAGAAATTAAAAATATGAAAGATCAGCTAGTACTATTCCAGAGCCTATCAAATTTAGATTCAAGATACAAAGATATATACAATAAAACAAAAATTGGTTACAATAATCTATTGAATACATCAAAAAGACAGCATTACATAAATAAACTGAATCACTCGGACAACAAAATGAAAGCCATGTGGCAGTCAGTAAAAGAAATAGTACAGCCAAATAATCATAATCATTTTCAAACAAACAACCCATATAATAAGGCAGAACAGTTCAATAATTATTTTGTGAATAATGCTTCGCTCGTTTCATCGTTGCAAACGAGTGCTTCTAGAGAAAACGAATATCAAAGACTGATGGAATTTCATAATTTTAATTTCTTCCTGAATCCTGTAACACCAGAAGAAGTTGTAACGGTAATTATGAATATGAAAAATAAAAAAAGCACGGGATTCGACGAAGTTCCGATCCATGTCCTAAAAGCATGTGTACATGAAATATCTGATATTTTGACTTTCATAGCAAACAAATCTTTCGAGGAGGGAACTTTTCCAGAGGCTCTGAAATTAGCAATCGTGAAACCCTTGCACAAAAAGGGTGACACCGACTGTCTATCAAATTATAGGCCTATCAGTTTATTAACTTGCTTTGCAAAAATTCTTGAAATTTTGATGGCAAAAAGACTGGTAAATTTTTTTGAAAAGTTCCAGATATTTGCAGAGAACCAGCATGGATATCTTAAAAATAAATCAATCGAGACTGCCTTATTTCACTTCAGTGTCGAAGTTTTGCAAGCCTTGGATGACGGAGATCTCTCTTGTGGCATTTTTGTGGATCTCTCCAAGGCATTTGACTGCATCGATCATAATATTTTGCTAGATAAACTATATAAATACGGTATACGCGGTAACTCCTATAATTGGTTCAAATCATACCTTAAAGATAGAAAACAAGTAGTTGAACTATCATCTGAACAGGGTGCAGTTAGGTCGAGTGCCTTGGAGATATCCATGGGTGTCCCGCAGGGCAGTATCCTGGGTCCAATACTTTTTGTAATTTTCGTGAACGACATAAAAAATGTAGTAACTGATTCTTCCACCAAAATTTTAAATTATGCTGATGACACTAACTTTTTACTTAGGGGTCCCAATTTTATTGATATCGTTGAAAAAGGAACGTTGATAATGAGGAGAACAAAAGATTATTTCAATGAAAATAAGTTGATGATCAACAATGAAAAAACGGATTGTATGTTGCTGAGAATCAACAATATTATTGAAAAGCCACAATCTATCAACATTGACAATCAAAATATCATATGTAACAACACTGTCAAATTTTTAGGGGTCTATATAAACGACAAAATGACATGGACAACTCAGGTAGAAAATTTGTGTAATAAACTGTCTTCAATTACATATGCTATAAGAGTGCTGAAACACAATGTTGACCAAAGCACTCTGATCACAGTTTATTATGCAAATTTCTATTCAAGAATAAAATTTGGAATTGGGACATGGGGAGGTTGCGCGGACTTGGATAAAGTTTTTATATGCCAGAAAAAGGTAGTGAGGATAATTTTCGATTTGAAGATAGATGGCTCATGCCGGGGAATATTTAAAAAAAACAACATGTTAACTGTACCAGCCTTGTTTATTTATGAGGCTATCAAATTCCAGACCACACATGAAAATCACTTCAGCAGTCACAAAATGAATCATGAACATAACACGAGACTAAAAAACAACTATAGTTACCCAATCCACAAAAAGTGTATTTTCGAAACAAGTCCACTGTACAATGCAATGAAATTTTATAATAATCTTCCGGATGAGATAAAAGCCATGCAAAATTCCAAAAGATTCCTTGGCTCGGTACGGAATTACTTACTCAGTATGGAGCCATACTCAGTCAGTGATTATTTTTAATCTGTGGTAATGTTTTATTTCTATGCTTATTTTTTTTTTATTGAATGTTTATACTAGATTTTAAACTGTATGTATGTGACTTACTTCTCAGACGCGTAAGACAACTCTGTAGAAATGAATAAATTATCTATCTATCTATCTATCTCTATCAAATAAATAGGTACATGAATGAAGTAAGGACCTGTGAATATACACTGGCCCGTTCCACAGGCATAAAAATGCAGACAACGACTATGAAATGGAATAAAATGAGTTGTAAAATTGCAAAATTTTCATAATTCGATATGAAAAACGGAAAATATTCCGTTTTTAGCTATTGAAATTCACAAATCCTTCATTGCAGCTTCAGAAATTCAGTAGTAAAATAGCATGCGCAAACATAAAAAGTACACAAATCCATTCAACATTTTGTGCTCTCTTCAGATATGTAAGCGGATTTTGTAAATTCAAACATACAGGGTGTTTTTTCGAGGACCCAATAATATGTTGAATTTTTGTTAATCCGGGCCTGGAATTTTTTTATGACGGATATACAAGTCGCTTGGGTAGCAGTAGGAAAACATGTCTACCAAATATCAAAAAAATATACCAGGTGGTTCGTATGCTATGAGCGTTCAAAGAAATTACCAGAATTGATAAAACACCCTATATCTCGATAATGAAACATGTAAGACCCAACATATATGGTATATTCAGAACCACCTTGGTCACCTCTATCCACCGTTGAAGTATTTCCGTTTCCCAACGGAACACCCTGTATAATACTGTACTATATCAAAAATAGTATTATGATACTTATATATAATATAGTATGATACAATTTTGTCGTGGTATTATTATTTTGATGAATGTAAAGACTAGCGCCTATTTTACTGAACGTTTGGTATTCACTACCGACTATTTCTCTGAGTGAACGACTTTCAAATATCCATCATTTCACTACAATTTTGCAATGCTTCTATCTGTTTCGTGAGCTATTCGTTGAATAATGATCGATTTCCGCCATTTGTTGAAACTTATTTGACATCAGCGATCAGCGTAGAGCAGCTGACATTTCCCGTGGCGCTATGCAACCAAAAAGAAACACGATACCTAGGTAATTTACAAAATAGTCAGAAACACGTTTCGTTAACAAGTTTTAATGGCCGCGTCGAAAATTAGTTGTGTATTATTTTGAGCTCATTACGTCGTTACGACCCCTTCGAATTTTCACGGTCATTGATGAAGATAATTTGAGATGCGGAATGTTAGTTTGAAGGCAGCACTCTGCACTCACTCTGCACTTACTTAATCAGTAGATATAAGTTATTTAATTATTACATAGATTAGATCTATGGTTATTAGTTATTTCGATGAAACACATCAATCTTCGTTCTCATCTATCTATGTTCAACACGCAAAAAAGAGGATTGTTGAATCGAGCAAAGTTCAATTGAATGAAGCAAATATAAGTGTCATATATGCACGACAAAATAAAATCTTGAAATGAGTAAATCTATATCTTATTTATCCAGTGCGAATTTAAAGTATGAATCAAGTAAATATGTTTTGCATTTACTCTGGATCTTATTCAATCAAGCACATTCATGAATTATTTGTGGAGAGATATTGAATTGACTCAAACAATCGTTTTGTTTGATTCAAAATAACAAGATATTGATTCAATCAAATATTTAGTTGATTCAATGAAATATTTGGTTGAATCTAAGAAATATTTGGTTGATTCAATGAATTATTTGGTTGATTCAATTAAATATTTGGTTAATTCAATGAAATATTTTGTTGATTCAATGAAATATTTCGTTGATTCAAGAGAAACTGTATTTCCATTCTACAATACTTTCTGATGAACCAAATTCAATTCGGGAACTTTCTGGAATTTCACATCAATAGAATAAATTAAACTCGAAATTAAACTATAGTCGACTTATCTAGCATAGATCTCCATCAGTCTTCACTTCTCTTCAGCTGATGCAAAACCATTTCGTAGTGCTAATCATCCTAAGTTCGATTTAATATTCAGCTGATATTTCAAACAGGAAGAATCAGGCTTCACATAAGTATAATAAATTCGAGG